TAGGGACTAATGATTATGTTTTTTCTTAAATAATTAATAAATGGACATTCCAACTTCAAATAACAATGGTTATATTTTTTTCCCCTCATATATGCATGATTTTAAATTTATAAAATTGAATCATATCATCAGTCATAAACTTTTCAGTGTGAACTAACTGGGGTTTATCCGTTTCAGCATTTTCAATACCCAAATCCTTGAGATCATCACGTAACTCTTAAATAATTGATTAAACCATGAGAAACGATGATTTAAAAATTGGGCAAATTTGCGTGGCTTTTTCTTTTGGGGGAATTTAGTTTGTGCACAGAATGAAAGAAGATAAAAAGAAAGAAGGTTTTTTTTTTTTTTGGGCATTTACGCGAAAACTGAAATCAAGGCGAGTGAGAGAGAGAGAGAGGTAGCGATCAATGAGAGGGCCAAATGCGAAAAAGAAATTAAGTGGGCTCAAAATTAAAAAAGCTTCATCTGCACTATTCTTCATCTTCTTCTTCATCTTGTTCTTTATTTTGGGACACTCGAAGCTGTGGTCACTGGCGGAGCTATGTGTATGTGGCAGGGGGTGGGGGGAATGCACCCCTCACATGGGGCAAATTACATAGGTGGTATGTGAAAATTACAATCATGCACCCCTAGTTTTATAATTTTGAACCCTCTAAATTTAATAGAAAAATATTTGAGTTCAAGAACTTCTTAAATAAATGATATTTTAACTCATAATTCATAAATTTAAACCAAAAAAATTATTCTCATCACACATATTATTAAAAAATGGATCAAGTGTTGTTTATTTTATAATAAAATCCAAGCATAAAGAATCAAATTTGTTGGTGGTAGTTTTCTCTTTTTCAAATTAAACGGTATATCAACATTCTCAACATATCTTTTTGTCTGAAGATATTCTCAGTATATTTTTTTCCAAATAAAAATATGCATAATTTTATTTATGTTATTATATTTTTTTGTTTAATGTAATTATTTTTAAAATTATTATAATATTTTTTAAATTATGGTGTCTCGTAGCCCTTGACTCTCGGTCCTGTTTCTGCCACTGGCTGTAGTGATAGATATATATATACACAGAGAATCACAAGTCACACCACACGAAGTTCTTTGGATTAGACTGTTAATCTTTTTACCCTTACCTTGTACTGCTTTGAACTACGTGCATGCTTCACCACTTATATCCCCTTCTCATCCTTCCCATATTTTACTATACTTAACACAAATATGTTTCTCTCTGTGTCTCTTTCTAAGTCTTGTCTATGTGCTAATTACAACAACCACACTCAAGTTTCACAACTTGTATTATATTAGTCCAATATATGCACTTTTGGCAATGCGTGTTTGTTGCATGGCAACTATTATTATTTATTAGAATATTTAAGTGTGAGTGAATTGGATAGAATTAGCTTTGAAATTAATACCCCATTCAGACTACAATATATATATATATATCGGTTGGAAAACATTTTTTCCAATCTTTCTGTCCATATAATAACTTGAGTTTAATTAATTACTACTATGCCTACTATCTCTTTCTGTTTCTTTTCACTTGCACGAATTGTATGACTAGGAAAAAATTGAGCTGCTATTGGTACAGTAATACAAAAAAAAAACTAAACAAATTATTGAAAGTTTTCTCAGGAAATTAAATAAAATGGACACGGTTCGTACATCTGGAACAAACCGGCCGCATCATATTTATTATTTAATAAAGAATAAGCGTGATTAATTTATTGATGATACAATAATACGTAATAATCTGAAACGTAATTTAATATATATTTGCATGCTCAGACCATCGATCCTTATTAGTTACTTTATCATTTAGACCAATGATAAAATTTAAATACTAATCAATTTTTTTAATCTATTGAACATGCATGATTATATTGGGTAAACGATAGGTATACTATTATTACAAACAGAAGCATAGAAAGATGGTTTAGAAGCATATATAATTATCACGTTGAAAAACCTAAACGTACAGAAACATAATATAATGAAAACCAAAGGTGGTGGCTACGTTCGCAGAAGAAGGCATCATCATCATCATCTAATCTATCATCGTTCAGCTTTAAATGTGAGACTATTCACTTTGTGTACACAGAGAGACAGAAGCTTCCTCGATATCAGCAAAGCACATATAGAATAGCAGTGCGTTGTATTCTTCCTCTTCCCTTTAAACTTTCTTTTATGTATACTTAGCTTTTCCTCTCTCTCTCTCTCTCTCTCTGAGCTTTCTTGCCAACTTGCAGAGCCCTAAAAATTTCTCTGCAACCAATAAAGCTTGTGGCACCACCCTTCTTTTGGCAAAGAGAGAGAAGCTTCATGATCAAATCTCACAGGGAAAAGAAGACCTGGAGAAAGAAAGTGACACACACAAGAGAAGCTACCTAGCCCTGTGCATGTGTCTATGCATGTTCATTTATTTTGTGTGTGTGTGTGTGTGTGTGTGTGTAATATATTTAAAGCGCAAGGCAAGGCTGGCTACGTGTAGGGTGTTCATAAATCCACGAATGAAGCTGATGTATCCAAAGATTACTACAATTTATCTAAAGTACTAATACCCTAAAGAATTGTCTCTCGTCTTTAATTTTTTTTTATTTCTTTCATTTTCATCCCAAATTAAAGTACTCACAACAACCTTTTACCCCGACCTATCTCTTGATATATATATATATATAATTTTCACATGGTCAAAACTTTAAACTTATCTGTTGTTGTACGAGTATAAATGTAAATTTTTCTTTAAAATAAAAGTTAATCCTGGCCTGTATTTTATAGAACTAAATAGGGCTTTGTGAAGAAGTTTTGGAGCCTAAGGCAAAATTATTTAAGAGGCCTAATAACTAAAGCCAGTTTCAAAATTTTTTATTTAACATTTTTGCCTCTTCAAATCCGAAAAACAAAAAAATTAAAACAATCACAATTTCAATTGAAAAGTAAAAGAAGAACAAACACATATGATACGGCCGATACTTGAAATCATAATTGGTATTTTTTGTTTTCAAGCAAAACTCCCACTTTCAAATAAAAATATATAATTAACATTAATACAATTCTTAACGGGAATGACAATGACCGGTCATATAAGGTGACTGTCTCATTGGCCTAACAGTTCATAGGGCCTTGGAACTAAACTAAGTGAGAGTATTGTTGTATTTTAATGGATCCCAGGGAATATATATGGAGAGTTACGTTGTAGTAAAGAAGAGAAAAGAGTGAAAGAAGTACATATGTGGTGTCGGCTTCAAAGCATGGCTCACTTCTTAGGATACTTCAAAGGAAAAGGATTGTCCCTCTGTGTGTAACTCATTCACCATCATCGTCATTTTAAACATTTCAAAGTTGATTCCTCTCTCTCTCTATCACATATATTAATTTCATCTTTTATACTTCCTTCCTTCACTGCTCTGTCTTTCCAGATGAGTACACACTTGGAGGCCCCGATCTGTATCTCTTTATAATTTGATAAAGAAAAGAAAAAGAAAATCATCTGCAACATCATCATCATCATCATGGTTTTTTCTTTTCTTTCACATATATTTTCCCAAGAGATTTGTCTGCAATCATTGGATAACTAACTCGTATCAACTAACTAAACCGATAATTAACCTAACTGTTTCAAAGGTTATTATCCAAGCGGACATCATTTAAAAAAAAAAAAAGGAACATATCATTAACTCATTTTTTGCTCCTTCCATGGCCCCATCCCCATATATAAAAGATGTTTTTAAGCAAATCCTGTGTATCAATAAAATTTTATTATTTAGCCGAAGGCACATAAAAGCACAATGATTTTTTTGTTTTGTCTCTAATAATATCATAATTAATATTATAGTAGTGGGTAATATAGCACACAATTAATATTTCCTTTTTCAAGATAAGGGTAAAATCATTTAATATAATTACTCAAAAATATCATGACACTCTTTGTATTTTAAAACAAAATAAATTTATAAAAAATACCCTATATATAAAAATAGGAGAGTAGTGCTCCTTTTGGATCTTAATATAAGACAAACTAGACCAACTTTGTGCTTATTAAAAAAATTGTAGTTATTTTCATATATAAAAATTGGTTAAAATTGTTAAAAAAATGAGTAACTTCTCAAGTTTACCCTTCTTTGTAATTAATAATCACAATAAATTGCCATAAACACAAGCAAACCCTTAATAAATAAACAAGGGTGAATTAATAAATTGTCATATATTAATGATAGAAGGCAATATTCTCATATTATATTTTTTTATCGTATAAAGAGTAGACTTTGCCGATAGGAGAAATTATTTCCCCCGAAGTATTTAAAGCAAAGAGTAAATCTCTCTCAACTAAAGTGCTACATATATAAGAGTTGATATTCGAACCCCAATCACTTATTTAAGTAATGAAAGCTTTTATCACTTTTAGTTGGTTCATATTATATTTTCATAATGTTCATAATAATTTATACATGGATATTTTAATTAATTGATTTTTCAGGTCAGGTGAAAGCAAAATATTCATTTTGAGATGAAAAAGAATTCATAAAGAATCTACCTAATTAACAATAACTAGATACTTGCTTCCAATAATAAGCCAATTGTGTTTCTTGATCTTCTTCTTCCCCTTCACTCTTATGCCCACTTGCAATCTTAACATTAAATCAAATAAGAGGAGGATATGTGTTTTCAATAATGAAATCTTATTTTGCATTTCTCTCCTACAACTGCAAGTATACGTAGTTTTAGGGAAAACTTTTTGTTTTTTTTAATCTATTACACACTGCTTAATAGTGACGCAGAGAATGTTTGAAAAGTGGCTCCAAAGAAAGCTATAAAGAGAAAGCCATCAATATGCCATATAAAGAGAACAAGTTTGTCTGCTTCTATATTTGCTCATCCATCTTATATTAATTTACCTTGCCCAAATGAATTAAATCAATTACCAATGAACTCACTAAGATGCTATTGCACACTCATAACATTGAGTTATCATACACAATATCAAAACATGACTTTAAAGGCCTATATCTTATGCCATAATAATATATTAGTCTGCTGGAAAAAACCCTAGATAATATAAAGTACAAATTTCAAGACCTAGTTCAAAAGTCTAGATCTTGGGTTCATAACAAGTCAATTATACAAGAAATTAAATTATGTTAAACTTGGATAATTCACCCAAATGGAGAGCTTCTACCTTGTGCCATGGTACCACTGCTAATCATGGGGCTCATCCTTTCTCCTTGAAGAGGGGTTGTAGTCTGTGTCCTTCTTGGTGACGGCCTTTCAAGCTTCACTGAAGCATCCGAAAACTTGTCACACACAGCGTCTCCTTGTAGCACCGGCTTTGTGTCGTAAATCTCTGACATGGGATCCATTTCGCCGGCTCTATGATCCAACGACGGCGGTGCAATGTGAAGTTGATGGTCAAGACCTTTGAAAGGATCATCTTGAGGTCCTCCGAGGCATGATGAAGCTGTCCCTAAATCTTGATGAAGCCGAAGATCGTCGTTCCAAATCAAAGGACTCTTTCCAGTTGTAGTGCTATTATAAGGACTCGGCCTCTTTTTCCCTAGACACAAATTTTCGTTATTGTTATTGTTATTATTGTTTGGCATCATCAACCCTTCAAGCTGTGGCCTCTCCATATGGTGAAGATGATGATCAATTTGGTCGCCCCCATTGCCGCCGCCATAGATGGTGAGTTCTTGGAAAGGAAAACTAAGAGGGGAACTAAAGTCTTTCATGACTCCTATTTCGGGGATGGCTTGAGTTGCTCCAATATTGATATTGCCTTTTAAGTTATTAGTGGCAGCCATGTTTTCACCTGCAAGTGTTTGATAAGCCTTCTCCAATATACTCTGCATGTACTTTCCTTGAGCTTCAATCCTTAGCTGAAGGTGTTTCTGGACCTGCCACATGAATATAACCTAAATCCTTCAGAACATGTTAAGAAACTAGTGATTGCATAATATATATATATATATATATATATATGAAGAAAGATGAAAAGAAAAACAGAAGAAAAAACTCTATACATGATTATTTTGTTTCATGCATGTAAGTCTCTTTAAGAAACATGACTATAGAGGATTTATTTAAGAATTATTGCTGTGTCCTCGAAATTAAAATGATATTATATAATTCAGTCTCAGTTCTCTTTCTCTCTGTTTTTTTTTCCTCTTCCTATTCAATTATACCTTTTGCTGACTTGCAAAAGAATCAACTCTTATTCCAAACTTGAAGAAAATTCAAGTAAGTTATTTTTTAATGATAAAAAGTGAGTAAATTATTTATTTTCTTTATTCTCTTACCTCGAGCTGTTCATGCAGTCTTCTCTGCACCTCCATTTGCATCCTAATTGCATCAACCATGCGTGAGTTACTGTTCATACAGTGTCACACGAACACATTCCATGCACAAAGAAAATCATAACCCCCCAAGCCCCAGGAAAAAAAGAATAAAAAAATAAAACTCAGGATTTGTTTTCTTAAAATAAAAAGAAAAAAAAGATTGAAAATAAAATATTTTAAAACATATTAACCTGTTAAACGGTTTAAAATTAATGAAGAAAATAGAACCGAGTCATACTCATTCATGTTGCGACCAATCATGGCGGATGGGGAGGCCGTGTTTCGTTGAAGCTCTAAAGCCGAAGCTGCACAGAGAGTAAATAAAAAGATCAAGTACATAATTTTTTTAAAAAAATGAATGAAAGAAAGAAAAATTAAACTATCATGAAGTGTAAAGACATAAAAAGTTAAAAAAAAAAAAAACAAGAGATTGAGGAACCCTAGAAAGAAGTGTCACCTCTCATGCTATCCTTAATCGAATGATCATTGAATTCCTTGTGGGGTTGCTTCCCAAGCCTAAATTTCTGCGAAACCAAAAAGAACATCAGATTAAAGCGAAAGAGAAGAAACAAAGCCTTCGACATAGCTATAGATCGATCAAACCCCCCAGAAATTAATCCGCAGCATACAGTCCCAAAAGCTAGATAGTGATAAGATTCTAAAGCAAAAGAGAAAGTCAGTGTTGATACCTGAAGGTGGCTCTTGAGATGGTAAAGGGTAAGACCCTTGACGCCCATAACCCTCATGATGGTTTTAGGAGTGGCCTCTGCAAAATTGTGATGCAGATAGAGATTATATTCATAACAAGGTTTGGTTGAAGAAGAAGAGTAATTGACGATGATGATAAGAAAGGGACGTACTGTCAGGGCCACCGAGCTGAGCGACAGCATCGACAAAGCGTTCATGGAGTTCGACGGTCCAGCGAAGGCGAGGCTTGGGGTCGGTGGTGAGGACGAGGCCAGAGTCGGCTTGAACACACATGGGCCGGTCGTGGGAATTCATAGTGGAGGGCTTCTTCGGAGGGAACATTCTCTCCATCAGGCAGAGATTCAAGCAGAACAAATGCGATGCAAATAGGGAAGAAGAATTGGGTGCGTTTCAATTTGAAGACAAGAGACGGGGGAGAAAGAGAGATGATATGCGAATGCCTTTAGTTTCGCTCCTCAACTATAAAAAACCATATAACCAGGCCGACTACTTAAAGCTTCCTTCTTAACTAACAAAAGGTTGTTTCACTTTATAAGCAATTTGGCTTGTAATGTATAAGATTGTGGGATCAAATTTTACTTTTGATATGAACACATTATTAGTGGGTAATCTGTTATAAGTGTCTATATAAAATCTCATTGAACTTGGATGTATGCCCAGTCTTGATGATTTTTCAGGACTCAATTCATTTAAATTTTTGTTCATAAAAAAATAACTTCCTTCGTAATTAATTATATTTTAATTATATTCTTCTAATAACATCGACACCCTTCCTTTGCCAAAAGATACTTCTCTCCCCCTCCCGCTCTATCCCAAAAAAAAAAAAAAATTCCAGCCTTGATTATTAAATTAAGCATGTGTTATGTAATTAATTGCATTTTCACATGCATATATCCCTCACATGTTTTTTTTTTTCCCGACCAGTTCCCCTCGCATTATTTTGCATGTAGATAGAGAAAGATATATATATATATATACATATATATGATTTATTAATTATCATTAGTTGATTTGTATGTCCTTAGAATAAGGCATTGGAAATTGGACAGGTCATGACATTTTTTAAAAAAAGTTAATGATAAAAAATATAGTTGGATCATGATCAAACCAATTATAAATACAATATTTTATTAAACCAATATATAATCAAGACACTTACTCAATGGTGTATTAGGTTAATCAATGGTGTATTAGGTTAATTTATTGAGTTCACTTGATTTTCAATATTAAACTCACTTTATAATAAGTTACAAATTTAGATATTTAGTAGAATTATATTTAAATAAAGAATTAATAATATAGTTGTGAATTATAAAAAATTACAAAAATATTCAGTTTGAATTTTTTATAAAAATAGATATTCAAAAGAATTTATTATGAATGGTACTCCTCATCCCATAAAACAATTTTAAAAGTATTTCAGTATCTCAAAATATAAAAAAATTAAAAAAATTAATTAAATATACTTTTTAATATTATCCTTTACTTTTATTTTATTTTCTCTTCATTTCTCTTTATTTAATATCTCACAAATAAGGTTATATTAAATGAAAATTATTTTTCAATATTTATATTTTTTTGGCCAAAATTTATATTTTTATTTTAAAAAACTAAGTTTGTAAAGATTAAATTTGGTCAGTTTTATTAATATGTATAGTTTTATCTTATAAATTGGGACTAAAAGAATACTAGTGCATAATAATAATTTTATAAAAAATACTTTACTCGTCTCAAATTATGAGATATTTTTAAATAAAATTTTATATATTAATAAGTCTTATTAAATATATTTAATAACTTTTTTTTAAAATAAAAATATTATAAATTTTTAAAAATATCATTCATTTAATATATAAAAAAAAGGGGTGATACGAAATTAAATACATAAATATAGAAAGAGTAATATTAGATTAAACGTATTTAATAAATTTATAATTTTTTCAAAATGTCTTCATGTTAAAACTTTGGAATGGGAAGTAATTAGTGATGATGACCATGAGGATGGACTAAGCATATACATACGCTAAGGAGTCATATCTAACGTACCTAGAGATTTGCATAGGCGAGTCATATCGTGGTACGACATCCTTTTTAGCATAATAAATATGAGCCCATCAAGCCACCAATAAGCAATAATATAATAACACTAAGATTTTGCTTTTTTTTTTTTTCGTTCCAATAAAAAGTTCTATTCTTGTATTTGACCGCATAATTTTGAATTATTGAAAGGAGAATGCCCCTCCACATCAAGGTGCTTTGGCTTATCAATTATTATCCAGGTGTCATTTTAAAATATCTTTCACAAAAAATTGTGTTGCTATTTTGAAATATCTTTCATTATAAAATCTTAATAAGATTTGATTATTCTTAAACTATTTCACCCTTTATTAATTAATAAAAATAATGATAGATTGAGTAAGTATTTATATATAAAAATTCTTCTTTAATTAAAAAATTGTCACTAGAATTTTCGTGATTTTTTGAAGCATTTTTACTTTAAAATTTCAATAAAACATTTTTTTACCATTCTTCATAAAAAATTGATAGGTAGAGCATTCACTGCTCATTAATCTTTGGAGCCTGCTCTATTAGAATTAATCGAGTAAATCCGATATAGCTAAATTATACTCTATCTGTTCTAAATTATAAGAAAAATTTTTAAAAAAATTAATATCTTAAAATATAAGACACTTTGATAAAAATAAAATTTTATTAATGATATTTTTTCAATGTTAATATTTCCATTATATTAATTTCTTTAATATTATTTTTTCATAAATAGTGTATTAAATGGAGCATATTTTTAAAAATTTTTATTTTTATTTTTAAAAAAGCTGCAAAGTGTATTTAATAATATGTATTATTAATATGTATAATTTTTATTTAAGAGCATTTTATAATTTAATACGGAGGTAAATAGTGCATGTTTTCAAGATTCAATGACCTAAATAGTTGGGACTTGGGATCTGTATTGTTTTAGGTGTAAAAAAATTATTATCTATTTTTTTGGGGAGAAAAAATTAGTATTATATATTTCTTCATAAAAGGTAAACTTGAAAATATCGAGAAGTAATCAGTATGAACGTGCGTGCATATTTTTGTTTTTCCTGTGAGGGCGCATATCCTTTTAGAAATATGATAAAACTTTTGGCTTTCGCACTTCGACAAAAAGAAAGCAACAAATAAACTCGAAATTTCCATTGAAATATTTATAGACGTGATCCTTATTGTTTTTACTAGAAAGAACATGTTTTGACGTGGTGAAAATCTTAAAAATAAAATATTTATATAACTCAGCTTATTAAAAAAATTTGTATAACTCATTGTTTTGGAGCAATAACTTTTCAAATGAAAGGTCTTCAACTGTGGGGAAAATCTTAGCCCAAAACAACTCACCGGAAAACGCCCTCTTCATATTTCTCTTCTATCATAAAAATAAAAACAAGTCTCCCTTGGTTAAGATATGACCAAAATAATTCAACTTCGATGACAATATTTATCTTCTATTGATAACAAAAATTTAAAATATTTTTAAGACCATTGTTTCAAACTTATTATTTATTTCTTGTTAAAAATTATAAAATTAGTTAGTTGTGAATTAAAAATATATTTATACTGATAAAATATGTATGTTTTTAATATCCGTTGTATCCGTATATAAACATCAAATACAGACCTACAATGTTAATAGTTATACTATAAACATTAAATAGAGTATACCTATTTTAGTCAAATTTATAGATATAAGCTCAACTTATTATTTTTTAATACAATATTAAAAAAGGGCATAACTCTTTTAAAAGGAAATTAAGGATTAGGTACTTCAAATTTTAGTATATTTAGAAAATAGATATTTTAGCTTTAATTTATACTCAATTATTTATTGTAGGGGATACACACACAAAAGTAGAAATAGATGAAAGAAGAGGTAATCATTTTCTTTCTGTGTTATTCTATCTTTAGGCATAAACATGAAAACTTTCTCTTTTGATTCTTTGCATGTTCGAAATGAAACCATATGAACTTCAAATTTGAAACAAATATTTGGAGTTCACACTTCACACTCAAGACAAGCAAGAGTTCAAATGTATATCTTTTTTTTTAAAAAAAAATTTCAAAATAAAGAGAAATGGAAAATGTAAGTGTTACCTATCATCATGATGAGAAAGCACAAAGAAGAAAAATGGAACCAAAACTTTAGAGTTTGTGGTTGGTAAAATAACTTAAGGATATCGTTGTAATATGAACCTTTTGATAGCATCAGTGGGGGACCTTCTCGTTCTATAAAACTTTATATATATGTTTAAAAAATCAAAACCTAATTAATCACTTTTTATTGAATTAAATATTGAAGATACTCATTGTAATTAAAGATTATTTTTCCAACCATATATATCGAAACACAACATATAGAATAAACTGTATTTTCAAGCCCAAAAAACAAATAAAATTTGTAGATTCTAATGACACTATATGCTGTTTTATTAAAGATATTCTTTAAAAAATTCAAAATTAATTGACCCTTGATCAATTGATACTCCAATCAATTTTTGATTGGCTTCAACATGCCAATTTGATGAATTAAATAAATAGATTCAATAATCAATTTCATCAAATTTTCGATTCAATTAGTCTACTTAATTAAGAGTATTAATTAGACTATCAGAAAAAAACAAATAGGCAACAAAATAGTAAAGCAAAAAAACTTCACCTCCTTTAATTTGTGACAAAAATTTAAAGAAGTGATGAAATGCTTCAAATTGAGGCGAGAATAAATGCTTTTTCTTCTTTGACAATCAAACGAAGATTCCTTTTTCCAGAAAGTGTAAAAACTAATTGTGTTATTTTGGAGCATACAGATATGCTAATAATTAGTTCATAATCTCTTATATATATTTTATTGATAAACCCTTCAGAATTTAATTCAACTGATTTGTCCCATAACGTGAGCCAATTTTGACCAGGCCACTATAAATAATAGACAATTCGAACCAATCAATGAGTTACAAGTGGACAAAAAAATCTGATCTGAAACAAAGAAAATCTATGTGATTAAGACTATAGCTAAGTGAGTGGCTTCCATATTACTCGTTTATTATTCGAATGCTAATTATTATAAACCCATAATTTAATTGGTAACATGTCCATTCATATAGTTGAGGGGTGCAGATGATTAAAACTAGAAAAAATAATTAATTAATTAAGTGGGATTCTTCTTATATTATGCCATTGTGATTTAGGGCAAGCAAAGCAAGAGTTTTTCACTTTTCTTTAATTGTGTTTTAAAAAGATGGAGAGAACGTACTACAATATTGCAAAAGTGGGTTCGGTTTAGTGAGAGAAGGAGGCTGTTTGCTTGAATTTTAAGCATCTTTATGGGATGCCTGTGAATATATTCTTCCATATGAATGAATATATTCTGTTTGAAGGTGAACTTGTGGGTCCCATTCTTTGTGTTAAATTCCAATATTCCATGTGGATGAGCCTAAGTTGTGTGCATTAACTAATTCATTTTAATATATATAATTAGTTATTATTTATCAATAACAATAGTTTATTTGAGTGGAGATACTATACTTAATTTATTTTTAAATGAGATCTCAAATTTAATGTTGTTTATAGAAAAACATATATTAAAAAATTTTGCATATTTGAACCCGAACATGATAGATTGATCAATAGTATTAGACAATAAACAGTTCTAAGACAAGATTAATTGTTATCTAATTATAACCGATTGTTCCAGTGCCTAGTACTCCTTTCATTTTTTATTGTTAGAGAAACTATCACTTTTCACTTGTATTTTTTTTAATAAGCAAAATCACCCATTTTAATAAGTATTTATTACACATTTTCTAAATCATCCTTCATAATTTATATTAATAAAAAATAATTAATGCATGCTTATGCTAATAAACACAGGATATTTTAGTCTTTTTTTTATTTTTAAATATAATTATTATAGTTAATCGACTTTCTTAAATTATGTGATATAGTTTTTTTTAAATATATATAGAAACGAAAAAAATATTTTTTATTTACCTTCAATACTAAGCGTGGAGGTTGTTTATTACTCTCTAGATCTATTTATAACAAATAATCATTTCATATGGATTCATAAATATATTTTAAGTTTTTCTTGGCAAAAATGCCCATATTAATTACTCAATCATTAAAAAATAAAATGTATTTTTAATTGAATTATATCTTTCAATGAATTAATTAATTAATTGTGTTTAAACCGATACTATTTTAACATGCTTGCCCTTTTTTAATAGATTGTCTCATTTAAAAGTGAATGATTAAGTTGTTTATTTATTAAGGATGTTTTTAAATGAAATTCATTAATTATACATTGAAAAACTAAAGATGTCTTGTATTTTTTAACACACATCTAACCTAAAAAAAAACTTAATTAATGGGGGTAAAACATAAAACAAATTAATAAATACATAAAATAATGGGTGGTTGCTCCTTATATTTAGGCCTCAAAAAAGACTTTCATGTGCTTTTTATAAAGAGGTTTTCAGGGTGTTGCTAAGAAGATATCTCTTTTTTTTTTCTTTCCATATAAAAGCGTATCACGTATGAATAATTAATGTAACTCACCATGCATTGCAAAATTGACTAAAAGATATATTCATGTACCATAATTTTATTCAATAATTTAAGAAAAATATTTTTGACTCAAAAATTGTTTCATATTTATACATGAATGTATGGAAGAATCTAACAATGAACATCTGAAAATTTCATTCACTTCAGTTCCTTTGCCAAAATTAATGAACATGAGATGAAGTGATGAAAATTATATAGATATATGCAAAAAGCTTAATATTTGAAACAGGCCCTACCTATACATACTCTACATGAAAATATTGATGACAATGCACATGGATATGCATGTGCATGTGATGCATGTTCTTGAAAATGCCGATAAGGTAGAATAAGATGTGTGTGTGTGTGTGCATGAAAGACATTCCATTCCATTGTCATTATCAGAGCTTTTCTTAGCTTAAAAAGTTTAGTCAAATGACTTTGGATTGGAATAGTGAATGGCATCCCAAGTAAGAAATAAACCACACATTATGGGATTAACATGCTATCGGTAGTTGTGGGGTTAACACTATTTTCCCATCCCTCCGCATATTACGTTTATTTATTTATTTTTATTTATTTCTCAGTAATCAAAAATCAAATATCAAAGCCACTTGTAAAAAGAAACTCGCCCACCAACAAGCGCTTGGTTCAATTGGCAACAAAATTGTACCAATTTAACCAAAGATATTGAGTCCGAGTACTGAGAATGCAATAATATTTGTTAGTAAAACTTTCACCCAAAAGGTTTCAATCTCACTCAATTCAGATTAGTCAAAACCGTAGGCTTTCGAACATCAAATAGTTTACTAACCAAAGAAAAAACAATGAGAGAAAGAAAGAGACTTGTAAATTTTCCCTTACTTGGGGCGGGCAAGCTATGGCAACCATTAAAAACCATATCAAAGCAAAGTTTGAAGGATTTGCAGCATTTTCACGTCCCTGAATCATAAATGTAACAGTAGAGAAAAGAAAAGTGGGGAAAATAACTTGAAAGAAGCATCACTGTTCATGCAAAATACCTCAGAAATTAAATTACGGAAGAAAAGAGACTGAGAAAAGAGATAGATTAGTCCAAAAATCCGTTCTCTGCCCGCACTTATTATATATACACAGGAGGTGCTTTCACATGCTGCTTCTGCAATGGCTGAACACAAGAGTCACTCCCTCTTCCAAACTCTCCAAAGGCATTTGAACAGCTCATCGATCGTCGTGGATGATCATATCATGGCATCAGAACATGAGCATCCCTCGCAGTTCAGTCTTTGTTCATGTTTCCCAAGCAGACATATTTGATCTGGAAAGGTAATTAGCAAGAGAAAATCTTCATGTTATAACCAGCTAAATAAAATAGATGAAAATGTAGCATCTTCTATGTTTCATTAAGTCTAAATTATATTTAGGCCCCTTGAGTCTTGGCTTATGCGTGCAGTTATAACAAAGGCAAGGGGTGGTTCTCCCCTGGACATCCTCATACGAAAACTTTGTAACAGAACCAGGAGGCCTCATGAAATCCCCTGAACTTTTAAATTCATACAAACAATTCCCTCACTGTAAAATTCAGTTACTTCATTAATAGAATGTAACACGTGATATATAGATGATTTATTTTCACATGACTTAAATTCATACAAACAATATAAGATGTGTTAGCAAGTTGCCGGCTGGATTAGCCTAGGTTAAAGACCTAGGATATTGGAGTGAAAGCAAATAAAAAAAGGAGGGTCATTTGCAAATAATTCAAAGATTATATATATATATATTAATTGAAAAAGACAACGCCATATTAGATGTGTATATATATATATTAATTGAAAAAGACAACGCCATATTAGAGTTGTACTTGCCTCCAAATATTCATCCATTCCATATTTGGAGCCCTCTCTTCCAAGGCCAGACTGTTTGACCCCGCCAAATGGAGCAACCTACATCAATGCTTACCGGTATATCAACCCATCCAGGAATATATCTCTATTTATTGCTTAGTGAATATGCAATGATAAGCACCTCCGTTGAAATTACTCCTTCATTTACACCGACAAGTCCATATTCAAGAGCCTCAGCAACACGCCAAGAACGTTGAACACTGTTCGTAAATATATACGAACCCAACCCTTCACGCACAGTCAGGGCAAGATCCCATCACATGGGGCAACAAATTTGATGGTCAATACTATATAATGAACATCATGGTGAAAATAACAGAGTACAAGCATCGAAGAGAAACAACAGTTTGTTTCAGGGCTGTTTGAAGAACCAAAATTAAGAAAGATAGCTCAAAAAACAACCTGCATTAGTGTCGTTGGCGATCTTGATAGCCTCCTCCTCAGTTTTAAATCTCAAAAGAGGAGCAACTGGTCCAAACACTTCCTCTCTAACAAATCATACAAGCTTGAATTAACAAAAAGAGAAGGTTCCACCCGATTGATAGACATCAAGGTAACATCTACTCGAATAAAAACAGTTATAGCCTCAAGTCTAAAATGTTAAAGAACAACAAATCACAATCACATTATCGCATCTGATTGAAGTATGTCAAGGTAATATTCGTTCAAATAAAAATGGTTTGTAAACTCACAAGTCTGATGTGTTAAACAGCAAAAACTCAGAATCAAATGATAACATCTTAAAAAGGTTTACCTTGATATGCGCATCTCATTGTTGACATCAGTGACAACTGTAGGCTCATAAAACGTTGATCCAAGGCTATGTCTTTTACCCCCAAGAATTACTTTTGCTCCCTTGACATAAAAGGGAATGAATAGTCAGATTTATCAGTTAAAGCTATTTTACATGCTCATCAGTCTTGCCAAATTTACATAAGAAAGGAAAAGAAAGGGCATGCATAAATTTGATCTAGGCAACAAACCACATCTAACATTTTGCCTCAAGCATGAATATAATAGCAAAAATGCCTTAAATAGATGAAATCTCTAACTTTTCAAATACAATATCAGATAACAATGCAAAAATAACACATTAAGAGTTAGCAATCCTTGAGGAGATGCGGGATGCACCTCAAAAATTTGTTTTGTTGACAGAATCAAAATGTTAATTTGACTTTCTTAGCTTCATTATTTTAGTTAAACAGACTAAAAAGGATGCTCCAAAGAAATATATCAGAATAGAGCGGAGAATCATTGTAAACGGATGGAAAAAAGAACAAACCTTTGAGGTAGCATCATGAAGTAAGGATTCCACCTGTCATTAAATACGAAGATCACAAAGATCGTTCAAGCAAGTTAGAGAAGACACCCTGCCATTCGCACAACAGAAAAAATAATACCAAGAGGAGAACAAACCTTTTCAACGGCAGCTTCATTGATTAGAGGCCCCTGTTTAGAAATGGACAATTGAGTCATACTAGCGACACTAGGATGGTCAAGTCTCCTAAACATAATGGTTAACAATGTACAGGGGCAAGCAAAGCAACCTCCATAGAAAGTCAGCTACAAAGAAGAGGGGAAGGGGGGGAGGGAGTGTACCTGAACCACACCTTCACTAAAACCGTCCCCAACTTTCATATTCTTAACAGCTTCAAGAATAGCAGCTGCAAATTTCTCATAGATACCTTCACAGAAGAGATTGGTTAGTTAAACGAAAGAGAGAGAAGCAATGCGTCCAAAACAGAATAACTCATGATCTAAACTTGTAAACGTAGTAATATAAAGTAACAACTTTCCTAAATTTGGCAAATTTTAAATCACTCAGTGAAAAATAATTCATTATTAAAACAAAGAGCATATTCAAAAATAACTTTCTTTAAGAAATCAATATCAATATATATAATGTAATTTACAGCAAGTCCCACTATTTGAAATTATGAATAGTGTAACTCATTTCTCAGATTCCGTACAATGCATGAGAAAAAGTGTCTAGTTGTACAATAATTAATACTCCCCCGATCCTCTTTATAAATCATTTTTATCAATCTCATCAATACCAATGTAAAAAAAGTAAAAGGAATAAAAGTGTGTAAAATTTCAAATATGCCCTTGTATAACAAATCCATAAAATGATATCATGTTTCTTTCTCTCTCTCATGAAAGGTAATTTTGAAAATACTTTTAAAATATTGCCTAAAAAGCTACACTGTGACTTATAAATAAGACCAAATGGACCTTTTAGAATGTGCCTTATAAATGGGACATTTAATTTCAAGAATTAGAGATGTATTATGTATATATTTATAAACATAAACATTGGCATTAATTTTTGAATAAATAAGGTTTACGGTTTTAAAAAAATAAACAAATTGAAACTAAAAGAAATATATTTTCTAGTAACATTTTCAATAAAAGAAGTCTATATTATCCTAGAGGATATTTTGGCCATCTTTCAGCTACAAGAAAGGTTTGGATATAACTTTATAATAGAGGGGAGGGCAGTATAATTGAAAATATCACAATGAAGAGCAATTTACTCTTACTTTTTCACACGTCAGATTTATAGGCTTATGAGATAAAAATTGCATAAGAAATTACAGACAGCAATACAGCTAATAAGCTCAGTGATGGAGGCAAGCGCCCATCATATTGTCTGTGTGGAGAACGAACTCAAAGCAAAATAGGAAACACAAAGCACTAAATCTCCTATGGCCACAAGAATACATGAATTCACAGTCCGCAAACATTTGACAATCACTTGAAGAGCAAAAGGTAGCAAATCAAACAAAGTACTGTAGTTGTGAAATAGATAGTTTACGAATCTGACCTTCTTGCACAAGAATTCGATTGGCACATACACATGTTTGTCCACTATTACGGAACTTCGCTGCAACCTGCAATTAAATGTATCAAACTTTGCTGTAATTAACACCAACTTTTGCTCAAAGTTCACAAAACTCGGTTAAATTTCATTTCAGAAATTAGCCTCCACTTTGAAAAAATTCAGACCTTGTTTGGTTAGGGGGATGGAAACAGATTCCTTTCATTATATTTATGCCATACCAATTATGACCTTGTAATCATTACTCAACAATATCTATATTTTATTTTTTTTACGTTTTTAAAGTTTGGACACAACAGTCATTTTCCATGCTTAAAATTAATTTTTTATTATAATTTTGTTCTATTCGTTTTGAATCTGCATAGCAAACAACTCCTTAGTGGCTGATTGCACTACATTTCTGCTATTTAATTGCTCTACCATAAGATTGATTGCTGAAATTAAAAATTAAGAGACCTATAAAATAAAGCCCCATATTTTATAGGGTTGCTGAGCATTTTTGGTCAAAAAAAAAACAGATAAGTTACAAAAGATACAGAGAGATTAAAAGACGGGAACAATTTCATCGAGAAGATAAGTAAGAAGTAGAATTCGATAGTACAAGAAATATTGATATAACAGTATCTGACAGTTAACTGCAAATTTAGACTTGGTAATGCATGTACTAAAGAATTGGCCTGCTTTTTCACATAAATAGGATGCAGCGTCTAATAGTGGTAGCCTATAAAATAATTCAATTTTAACAGAAACCCAGAAAAATTATGTCCTGGGAAAATAATAATAAATAAAACCTGCAGAAGCGTTTAAAATCTCAGTAGGTACAATGGAATTCAACTTTTGCATAACTGGCACTAATAAATCCCCCCAAGCTAAGGCCAATCATAGTGAAAACACTAGATGTCAAGGCTCCTTTATGAAATATGGAATTGGCATGTTGCTGATAGGACCCAAGATAGGTGGAGAGAAATAAGGCAGATAACTGTCTATTCAGTTGCCCTTCATTTCACGTGATTTTTCTACAAGCACTTCCTATGAATTCTATAATTTGCAATCTCAGCTGATGCTTACTTTTAAAATGAATAAAAATCATCATGCCTTGGAGGAAGGAGGAAGTAGATTTTTATACAAATCCAACACTAATCAAGAAGGAGCACTTCATCAAAAACCAAGTCATACTTCTAGGTTCTCAAATATATATATATATATATATAGTATGGATGACACCTGGTCATAATTTTCCCCCCCAGTATTTTGGGAACAAAGAAGACCTCAAGGCCATTGGAGTAGGGATGTGATAAAAAGGGTACGGCAAGGTATCGAACTCTCAACATCCGATTCACCTCAATCTTACATGGCACTAAAAATTGAGGTTAGTGCCATGCAAGCTATGAGCTCATTGGCAATTAACTCATTATGAAGGGTATCAAGCACTGCAAACATTGAAGTGTCAAAGCTAGACATGACATATGACGATAAATAGCATCTTAGACAAAGTCATTATAACTACCATGCGTGGTCATCATTTCTAACTTACAGTTCCTTTTACTGCCACATCAAGATCAGCATCATCAAATATTATGCAAGGGGCATTGCCACCAAGTTCCAGAGATACCTAGAAAAGTATTAAAAAGATAAAAAGGAAAAGGAAAAATATCAATTTAACATAATGGAATCTAGATTCTGTATTTTAGGAAATTTAGGACAGCATATAAGCTTACTCTTTTAACTGTTCCAGCAGCACCTGTCATCAACTTTTTTCCAACTGCTGTTGAGCCCGTAAATGTAATCTTCCTTACCTAAATATTTTTGATGAGGAAATGAGCTTGTTTAAATTCCATCCTTGAAAGTCCTAATATCTTAACAACATTGTGACAGAACCTGTGGACTTGCAAGTATAGCATCCCCAATTTCAGGAGCATTTCCCATTACTATATTCACAACACCCTGTACCATTAAAATGATACGGCCATTACAATCATATAAAAGAGAGAAAGGAACCGGAAAACTTCATTTACAGGAAAAGAAAGAAAGAAAGGAGAAAGAGGCCTATAAACATAAGTTGTGACAACGAAATGTATAACCAAAGAGACCAAGAGTTGATAGTGGTAAACTTTATACAATCTACCAGAAGAAATTGATGATGATTAAGGCCCTCTCAAAGGAGCCAACTTATTATTTCTTTATCTGGTAAACAGATTTACTCAAGGCATATTCTGAGATTCTGCATGAGATCCATAATCATGGGGTATATGCTACAGGGATAAACTGCAATAATTAAGATGTTTCAAATGAAAAAAAAATTACAGTAGGCTCATATATTTAGTGTTTAAAGGGGAAAAATTTTGGCAGAGGCATAATAAATTACATAATAAAATCTTTAGGAGTTTTTCCAAACATCTCATGTATTACATAACCACAAATGAAATTACAACGCTATATCATAACAAACTGGGGGAAATTTACATTCAACAAGATTATGAACTCTAGTTAATCCATGAGTCTAGTATAAGAAAGAAACTACCGCTGGTATTCCAGCTTGAATTGCAAGCTCTGCTGAAGCCAACGCTGTGAGAGGAGTAAGTTCAGAGGGCTTAATGACCACTGTACAGCCACACGCAAGGGCTGGACCAACCTAATATAAGACAGCACATTCTTAAAGTGATTGCTATTTACTAAAAACATTACCTGCTCTTGAAAACAATTAAACATGCATGTGAGCATCTGGACACTAAAGATCCCAAATGGAATTACCTTCCGGGTAATCATAGCCAAAGGAAAGTTCCAAGGTGTGATAGCACCAACAACCCCTACAGGCTACAAATGACGACAATTAGGAAAAATAAGGCACATATTAAATATTAGAATCATCTGACAGAATTTCATGTTTTAAAAGAAACAGCAAAATCCTAATCCAAAATAACCCATATAAGACAACTAAAAACCATCTAGCCATGAAAAGTTAATATAGACACATAACATGCAAAGCAACAATGACAAAGCAAAAGTCTCGAAAGTCAGGAAAAGTACTAATAGAATCATCTGACAGAATTTCACGTTTTAAAAGAAACAGGAAAATCTTAATCCAAAACAACCCATAAAAGACAACTAAAAACCATCTAACCATGAAAAGTTAGCATAGGCACATGACATGCAAAGCAACAATGACCAAGCAAAAGTCTCGAAAGTCAGGAAAAGTACTAAAAACACAGAAGTGTAGTATCTGTTAGATGCCATTTAATATTAACTTTTTAAATAAAAAACATATGAATATGATAACAATGTCTATTTAACCTAGCTGTTCAAAATTTGGTGACACAGGTACATCCAATATTTTGAACACATGAAAGCAGCAAGGTACCAAATACAAGAGTATATATTTACATAAAAAGAAAAAAAAAATCCTTGGTCTCATTGTTTTAAATTATGTGTTGAGATTCCATAGAAGAGCAATATGACCATTAAACCACCAAAATCTTATTGCAAATACCACCAGAAGATGATTCAAAGAAGAGTTAAGTTAACATGCAAACAGACCTGCTCCGCTGTTCCTATCTTTGCACTCACATTAACATTTTTCATTTAAATTCATGGTAAGTCAACTGTGACTGCTCTTGCAAGACCAAGCTAGTGCAAACCAACATTATAGAGCAGTAAAAGACCCTTCAAAAATGCATACTAGGCATTTAAGAGTATGATCCAGTAATGGGGGGATTTCAAATTTGGGGGGTCCAGTGTAATTTTAATGGACCAGTCTTAGAGCTGGAAAGGCTAAAAGCAAAGTCTCCTAGAAAATGGAACTGTGTTCCTACTGAGTTCGAAGGATTTTAGAAAGTTTGGTAAAGAGTGCTTGCGGAGCAGCTAGATGAAAGCAGGAATCAGTAAACTGTAAGCATAAGTCTATATAAAGTGTTAGGGGTTTATCCATGTGAACCTAGGAGTTGTCAATTTACACTTATGACAGGAATGACTAAGAACATAGGCACTATCTGCAAATTCAGTGCATGGTATAGTGGGCTGAATTTATGGGAGGTGTGTGGCTAAGAAGATTTATGCACGTTGGAGACATGCATGTTTCATTGTGGGCTAGACAGTCAACAACAATGTGTTTAAAGGGGATAACTTGGAGAGTGGTCAGGCTTGCATGTTGACTCCTCAAGAGAGGTAAGGCTAGGGAGAAGACAGCAAGTTTAGTTAAAAAAAGAAAAAGAAAAAAAAAGCACTTATTTACAAAGTGTCAAGCATAGCACATGAAGGACATCTAGGGAGATCTTATGTTTACTATTTGAGGAACAGAAGAACAGTTTTGCTAATTGTTTTTGTTTTTTTTTTTTTAATGTAGCTTCTATACATTACCTGCTTCTCCAAATGAAGTGTCTGAACTAAGTAGGTGCCTCCTCTAGGCAGGAATAACCCACTACTTGCTTTAATATAAGCTTAATTGTATGTAACCATTGTAACTTCATATTAAAGCAAAGGCACCCACTTATAGTAAAGCTTATCTGGAGTCACTTCTTCTCAGCTAGTGAAACCAACGTTTCACAATCAGTGGAGACACTTTCTCTTAACTAATGGAAGCATCTACACTTGATGCACAGGCAAGATATCTTGGGCATTGCTTCTTAACTAGAAGCACCCCTTAATGAAAGTTATTGCAACTCTGTAATTAATTAATGTAAATAAATTAATAAAACATAAAAGCCATGTGTTCAAAAGGCATCTTGTGCATAACTGGTGAAACCCATATAGGTGAACTAAGTGAAACACATCGAATTATATGTTAGAAATGTTAAATCTAACCCTAATAATTTGACATGAGTGCTCATAATGAATATCAAACTATACTTATGTTAGTGCATTGTTCTGGTTGTAAGCTAGTTTTCCCTCCTCAATGCCTTGAACACACACAGAACAATCAATTGTAAAATGTATGAATAATAATATTGCATAGAAAGCTACGAAACTATGAAAACTAAGACACTAAACAAATTCCAAGTTCACCTGCTTTAAAACAAATAGCCGTCGATCAGGTAGCGGTGCAGGAATTATATCTCCATATACACGCTTTGCCTCCTCTGCCGAAAACTCAATAAAACTAGCCCCATAATTTATCTGCAAACGGTCACTTTCATTACATGATGTGAATGATGAAATTCATAGGGAAAATATTTAAGAAAAGAAAAAAAAATCCTAACATGACATGGAAACCAAATACTGAAGGATTCATCGACCAAAAGGTTATCTATGATACCTCCCCAATAGATTCTTTAAGAGGCTTTCCTTGCTCTAAGGTTATGAGTTGAGCAAGCCCTTCCTTGTGCGCCATTAGCAAATCATACCTTGCAAGCAACAAGGAGGAACATAACAGCATGAAATTATTGACAGCATAAAAAATATAAGCAAATTAAACTTCATGACTTATATTTTTAATTGTATAGGTATCCAGTACAACATATCAATACATATCTAGTGTGTCATCATTTCTATGTCGGAGAATAGAAGTCCCACATCTAAAAATAACAAGAAAATGAAGGGTGTATAAACTTGCGGCAATCCTAACCAAGTAGTTTAAATTATCTTGGTGACATTGATATGTCTAAACAAGAGCCTAACGGCCACAAGATTCAAGAACTCCATTAGAAATGAGATGGACCCTAAGTCTTTGAGGTTTGAAAGTATAAGCTAAGGCAAAAACATAAAGGCTATGACCTCTGCTTTTGAGACTTAAAGAGCACAAGCCTAGGCAAGACAGGGGGGAAAGAGTAAATGGGGAAAGATGAAGAGTATATAAGCTTGTGGCAATCCTAACCAAGTAGCGTAAGTTAAAAAGCTTCAGAGAATAATTGCCAAGGAATATATAATTTCCCAAGAACATAGCCTATACCTTATTGTACTCAGAGACATACTAAAGAATTTTCTATAAACACTAGCATCCAACATAGGAAGCTGCTTTTTGACTAAACACAATTGAATGATATAGACAATTTCCTTTTATCCATTTTCTTTTTAAGTTATTTTACACATGCAAATTGTATAAGAGCATAGTTTCAGATCTATTATCAATTCTCGCCAAAAGTAAATAACAATATATGGTATCAAACATTCAACAACATTAATAACAAAAGATGCATGTGTAGGCACACACATATCTATGCAAAGGTATGGTGAAAAACATGACCCTGTTACTAACCAAAAACACCATGTTAGACCAATAACCACATGAAGAAGTAGCATGTGCAGCAGAAATATCTATAGCACATTACACCAATAGTAAAACAAATGGTCACATAATCAGCAGATAGCTTGTGTATTTCCTTTAAAGTAGGTCGTTTATAAATTCACCAGCAACCAAATATACCATTTTCTCAGAAGTTTACTCCTCTCAGCAGCAGTAGTTTTGCTCCAAGCTGCACATAAGGACGTTTAGCTATTTAAATATTTTACATCATCAAAAGATACCAAAGGCAATAAGTTGTTTTTAGTATCTATAGATACATGGATTTATACGAATATGGAACTAAGAGCCTAAACATCATAAACATATTAGCACAGGGAAATTTCGAGTATCGCGCCAATAGCTACACCATAGAACCAAATCAAACTCAAACCAGATTAAAATCACGATCAACTACAATTCTAAAATAATTAACCAATTTGTTTCATGCTAGTGTATCTTTAAAATATATTATATAAATTGGCGAACGTTTCTGTGGAATATGTAAGGGAGAAAAAAATGTATTTCTCATTCTGCTGAATATTGAAATACAACTGTGTATATATACAACGAGATGGGGAAAATAATAATGCTCAATAAATACAAATAATGACTAACAAAGCCTAGGAATATTTACAACAGTTACACTATCACAGTTTCGCAGTTGCCATGCTATAGGAATATTATATGTACTAATGCACAACTACATTGATTGAAATGTAACTGAAAATTTTGAAATTTACGCATGTCCTTTCAACATGAAGAAACATAAAATGCAACAAGAACCTGTTTGATCCATTTTCTTACACAAAAAACAAGGTATGCAATGTTTGCACTTCCTTTTATCTTATTTTTAAAAGGAGGGATACAAAAGTCATTTTACATCCATGAAATCCCTTTTTTATTTCATTTTCCTTTTCATTACTTTTTATTTTGTTTACCAAACAGCTTTTAGCTTTGCACCTCCCCTCAAGATTCTAATAAAAGAGCAGGGAGAAAAAGGTTTTGAGAGAACATTGAGCAACTAAAGAAACAAAACATTTCCAGAAAAAGAAAAGGCCTAACATTTCAAATTCTGAGCATTATCTTTCAGTAGCTTAATTTTTTCCCCTAGAGAAAGCTAGACACAGAGACATGAAATAGTGTGTGGAAAAACCAAAAAATTTAGTGTTCAAACTCATAATTAAGTGCTAAGCTATTTGATGACATGTCATTTAAGTACATGCAAATATATTCAGGCAATTATGAGAATACGTCATCTCAAAGCTCCATAATGTTTTCAGTCAAAAAGAAAAAAGAAAAAAGAAAAAGAAAAGTTCCATAATGTCCCTGCATTGATCTTAGTCAAAGTATATATCCTGAAAGTATGAAATTCCATACATTGAAATGCATCATAGGCTGAAGATATCGCATCATTTGTCTCTCTTCCACCCATGCATGCAATATCTGTTATAGATTCACCGGTTGCTGGATTATAAACCTATCACAGTATTGAAAACGCTTTTATGTAAAATTTAAAAGATGTTTACAAATGTCATAGCACAATAAAACAAAGGAGTATCTAAGACAAAACAAGAACAGGTGTTTAAAATTGCAGCAGTAGACTTCTCAAATAAAGAGGATGAAGAAAACATCAGCAGTATCACTTGATAAAAGTACAAACCACCTATCCTTCTATTCAGTTTAACAAAAAGAGGAAGAAAAATAGCCTGTAATGGGCTGCGAAACCTGAAAATTAAACGTTTGAAGTAGAAGATTTGCTAATAAGTAACACAATCAGAAGAAACTAATGATAAAAAATTGAAATAGCTAAACCTCACTTTTTCCTACCATATCAAAGAGAACTGTGGTTTTGCATTATAGTAGCAACTGCCATACCTTTATGGTTTTGCCATCATAGGCATCACTCCATTTGCCTCCAATAAGGCCCTGAGTCCGCAGCAGACCAGAACTATTAAGCTGAGAAGCAACAGTCTTTGCATCCATGCTTATCTGGAATTCAAACCACATACTTAGACACTAAACTGTCTTAAACTTTAAGTACAAGTGACACGCGTATCAGATGATAGGTAAAATCTATGCTAGACTTCAATTCAACTTCTTTCACCCAAAAATGGACTCTTTTTTAATCATAACACTTGAACAGAAGATTAATAAAGATGCAGGCAGCCTGTATGTCGTACATGAAGTAGTCACGTGCACATAGCAAACATATGTAAGTATAAAGGCAGGAGAGAAGAGGGATTTATACTTTAACGTTGTAATCGAAATTCTGCAGCTATGAAACCTCTTTCGATTCTGCATAACGTAAAGGGCGACAGAACAATGATTACTAGAAGAGATTCGTACACTGTGAGCTAATACCAAGGAAGCTGGGCGAGCGAGGGCAAGCTCCGTCGGCAATTTTTTTTTCCCCACAGTTCACGATATGGGTATGGTATATCACATCGCAGAATATTCAGACCATATATATATATATATATATAAACAACAAAGATGCACTTGCCTGGCGAGCGAAGGAAGGGCCAGTGGTCTGCATGGAGACCAAATGTAAAGAGCGAGGGATGAGCTGCCAAGATTTCATTGACAAGCGTAAGCTCAATGCTGCGGAAGCCAGCGTCATTGCCGTGATCGTTTGGGTTGCTACTGCGAAGTTTCCTTCGTTGTTTTGCTATAATGGATATTAGCGTTTTGCGTGTTCGCTGATGGCATATGATTGCAGAACCTGGTGCCCTCTCTCTTCTCGCTGAATTGAACGAGCGTTGTGCTCCGATGTCATTATCGAGATCGGACTATTCACATATAGCCCGAGCCAGTTGACAGTTCACCGCAAGGCTAGCAACGAAAAAAGGTTTAAAAAAAGAAAGAAAGAAACACGCCTAGTTTATATAATGGCATGATGGAAGCTTTCCAAAACATTAGAATTAATTACTAATGCTAATTATTGTTGAATAATTTGATTAATTTCCTAATAAAATTTAAAAAAACTAAATGCAAACAAAAACACGCAAGTCTAATATAAAGACATATCTCTCGAATCTTACTTTCTCCATTTTAAGGAAATTTAACACTTAAAAATATAAGGTATTTTTAGTCTTTTAAAAAGAATCATTATCCTTTTTTCAAAAGTGCGCTTATTTATGAATAACTTTATATTTATTGTATGGTGTTTCATAGAGATAAATATGAAAAGATATAATTAGTTAAAAAATAGGTAATTATTTTATTAAAAGTAAAATTTAATTAAAAATGCCTTACATTTTTTAACGGATGGAGTATATCTATTGATAAATTGTTGTCCTTTTATGTAAATAATATAATGATCAACTAGTAGCTCATAAATAGTTATAAGATTTGATTGATATAACTTAGTTTAAGTTATATATTTGTTTGTTTATATTATATTTAAAAAAATTATTAATAATTGTAATGTGCTACATGTGGTTCTTAATATGAGAATATAGTTGGAAGATTGTTTGTAACTATTTATAAAAGCATTCCTTAAATTTATTAATACACTTTAATCATAGTGAGTCTTTATAACCTAACTTAACTTGGTTCTTGTTAACCAATAAAGTTATGATTAATGAAGTTATATGTGTTTATGATATCAAAAAATACTCATGTCATAAATAGGTGATTATTACTGTTAGAATAAAAAATGCGAATGAAGTTGTGAGATTAGGTAAAGAATCAAAACTGGAACACCCCTTACCCATCACAACCTAAAAAATTGTTGATGTAATTTTGAACCAACGCTTAAGATGTTTCCATATTTTCACTTATCTCCATCATCCTTGTGAAAGTGGCTTCAAATCTTTTCTCAAACTCTTGCATTTGCACGGCATAATAGTCTGTCATTCTTGGTAGAAGTTCATTAATTTCAAGCTTTGCTACCTCCACCGCTGCATACATTTGCTGCTATGACCTCATGCAAGAAAGAAAGATTGGACCAGTAAGTTTGTAGCACTTTGGTCTTTTGGAAATTGTAAGTTGTAACTCATTCCATAATGCAAAAACAATGCCATTCCATATGGAGGCTAAGATAGAGTGAGTTTTGGCAGCTCCTTTTCCTCTATAATGGAGAGGGAAGCCAAACCAAGCTAATACTAGATGAAAAAGGAATGTAGCTCTTTTTGTAGACAAACTTTGGTAAGAACAGGAGGCGTTTTCTTTTTTTCATTCAGCACCCAATATCCTATGCCAGCTCCATGTCTAATTGAAAAGGTTTTAATGAGGTATAGATTAATTTGGATTGAGACAAATTAAAATCCTTTTTAAGTGGAAGCTCTACAATTACTGCTGTTATTATATTGTGAGAACTTGAATTCAAAATCTCTAATTAAACTAATACAATTTATTTTCTAATTAAACTAAACATCCTATGATTAAGAAGAGGAGGCATGGCAACAATATTGAGAAGAACATCGATTGAAGATGTCAACAAAGCTTATATTGTCAAATACGTTTTGTTCATGCTTATGTTCTGCCCTACATTGTTGTGATGCTTCCGTCAACCAATATTTCAATTTGCTCAATAATTATTGTCACAGGAAAAAAAAAATGTTGAGCACCTTTAAAAAACCAAAAAATTAGAGGGAGAAAGAAGTGAAAGATTATGGAACCCGAATGTATAAAAATGGGTTTCATTCACCTTGCTTATTTTTCTAAAACTATTATTTGAATTATATTAGCTTCCTTGTAAATATGATCTAATGAGCGATTCAAAATAATATTCCTTATCTCATGACGAAGGACATGTGAAGATGTTTAGCACTTATGTCAATATTCATGTCACAAAGAAAAAAAAAAAAGATTTGATGATTCCGGAGGATTTGATGGCATCCAAAAACAAGAGCATAAATCTGAAATTACAAGATGCTCTAGGGAGTATAAATGCTCTTATTATATAGTAGTTTTGTAACTGCACTGTTCTTTTCTTATTAAAAAAAACATTTTCTTTTGGAGAATTCTAGACTCTTATTGATATCACACTTTGGAATTTATAGCAACAATGAATATGAAGCGGCAAATGAATTCCACTTCATTCTCACTTTTTAAAGATACACGCAAAGAGCTAATACAATTTTCAACCAAAAAAAAAAGAGAAAGAAAAAAAGAGTTCATATACGGTTTCCTAATCCAAATAAAACGTGTCTATAATACAAGTTGCTATAAATTTTATTTTTATTATTTGTATTAAAACTCCCTCCACTCTAAATTTAAAAACATTTCCAATCATATTTTACATGCTAATAAAAGTAATTATTTTCTTACTATCATGAAAAATAACAACTCTTTTTTGTTTTTCCCTGGACTCATTTATTATGAAAAGTAAGAAGTGTTTAATCAAATGAAAAAAACTTAAATACTTAACATTATATACTTAATGTGTTTGTTTTTAATTAAATCAAGACATATGTATTTTATATAGATTATTTATTCTATAATAAATTTTTTTTATTAATTTTATTAATATATTAAGATTCACTTATCATGATTTAATTGGATATAGATATATTAAATATATAAAGCTAAGTATACATGTCTTATCCTAATCAAATTATATATCTCATACCTACATTACATTATCTCTCATAACTAATAAATTTAAATAAAATAATATTAACAAAAATATAAGTAACATCTCATCAAGTGTCTTATATTAAAAATTAAAAAATCTTATAAAAAATAATGATTGAAGAAATATTTAGATAGATCTAATGCACCACATCATTATAGGTTGTTTAATTAAAATGCTTTAAGTAATTTAAATAAAATCTTGTATGAATTTTTTTAATTAATTTTATTTTTATAACATAATGTACATTTGATTTCTTACATTTTTCTCTCTCTAATATTATTAATATCAAAATAATTTATATTTAATATCATTTAAATGTTATTTTTTATTAGAGAAACTATAGATAACATGATACATTCGATCTATTTAAATATTCCTCTAGAGGTGGGAGGAACATACTTTGGATAAGTTTAGCTGGAAAAAAATCTTATAATTTAGACTGAGGGGGTATAGTAATGATTAATAATTATTTGCATTGATTGATAATTAATGATAATTAATGATGATGCTGATACTGAATTAAAAATAAAAATAAATTAAAAACAGAGCCGTCCAAAACCGGAAATTGCATCGTACCCTTTTTTTTTTTTTTTCCCCGGCTCGTCTCTGTTGTTTAGCTGCTTCTGTCTCTCTCCTCAGAGAGGGAGGGAAGGAGGTGACTGGCCGGCCTTCGTGATGAATCAGTCTCCATTTATTATTTCTTTGTAAAACCCAAATCTCCTAGAGAAGGCGCTTAACCAGAGTTTGCTCCAATCACAATTGCATTTTCTTTGCCCCTCATCACATTTCAAGGGTCTTCAATCCCCGTCTCTTTGTTGTTGCGGCATTGAGAGAAAGGATAAGCCTTTAGGATTTTGGGTTCGGATATGGCATCTCCGGGTTCTGGGAGTGCTGGATCCGCTGATGCAGCAACTGCCAGAAAACATACGAAGCGACCCAAATGTATTAACCTCTGAAACTTCCTGGTTTCTGATCATTTCTTTTAGTTTCCGGAGTTCAGTTTGCAGAGAACCACATTTGAATGGTTCTGTTAGCATGCTTATGTTTTCCTGCAATTTATGCCCTCAATGTGCGTCCGCTATATCAATTTGTGATAAAATTGTGCTTTGAAAAGGGTAATGCCTTTGTTGTAAGTCATTATGCTGAGAGAAGAGGAGGGGGGAGGGACTTTGAGATGTTGGCTTCTCCTATTCTGGTTCTTAGTGTGTGCTCGGACCTGTTGTTCGAGCTCATAATTTTAAATGCGACGGCAGTATTGTACCAGATGGTTGATTAATCTTTGAACAAAATCTACTTTAGTTTTTGAGCCTTGAACATTTGAACTTTGTTGATGAAATGTATTTGACATGCATATTGGTTTGTTAAGGTGTTCTTTGCAGTTAGACAGTATCTTCTGCTCTAGTGACAATTGCATTTGCTTCATTTTTGTTTTTAACATATCAACAGAAATCTTAACTGACTAGACACTAGAGTTCTTTTTTAGATTCGAAGTTTACACAACAAGAACTTCCAGCATGCAAGCCGATACTTACTCCACGAGCGGTAACTCTACCAATCCCATATTTGCTGTCCATTGTTTTAAGCACCATAGATTTAGTTGTCAAACTTCGTATACTTATGAGTTGTATTTGATTTACTTATTTCCCTGCAGGTTATTTCATCATTCTTGATTGTCAGTGTTTTCTTCATTCCTATCGGAGTTGCTTGCCTACTTGCTTCAAATGATGTATGAGCAACTGCAATTGATGTTTCATGTTCATGCTTTCTGTTATGTATGATGCTTACTGTGATTATGTTATTATCCGCCAGGTTGTTGAAATTGTCGATAGGTATGACTCTGATTGTATACCAGATAACTTTAAGAACAACAAAGTAGAATATATTCAGAGCTCTGTCAATAAATCATGCAACAGGACACTAAATGTAAGTCTCTTTGGCACCCCTGTCTCCTTAACATTTTTTACTCATCATTGTCATAAGGGCAGAGGGAGAAATTTTTGCTTGAGGGGGCCAAAACTATATCAGGATGTAATGCACAATCATTATTTTTGGTTAAACCCTGACCTCTATACAATACATAACACACATACTATAGTAGAGATCTAGCATCGAAAAATGTAAAAGAAAGTGTATAGGCTATTGTGAAAGAGATAATATATTGCATTCAACTCTGACATTACTAGTGTGCTGTGATCCACATGGCATAGCTATTGAGACAATGCCACAACATGCGACAAGAAAGTATACTTCTTTAATAGGTTTCATTTGATTTCATCTTATCACACTTGTTGGCCAACTTTCTCTGATTTATAAAACTAATTTCAACTGAAAATGAGTAAAATCTGTTGATAATTTAATGATAGTGATAAATTAAAGCATTTTATCAGACTTGTATGTGAGGAGAAACTAAAGATTTGTATGCAATGAGCAAGTAGAAGCCATTAAATAATAAAACAAAACATGACATCTTAACTGACTAGGCACTAGAGTTCTTTTTTAGATTCTAAGTTTTCACAACAAGAACTTCCAGCATGCAAGCTGATACTTACCCCACAAGTGGTAACTCTACCAATCCCATATTTGCTGTCAATTGTTTTAAGCACCATAGAAAGGTGAATGTTGGGTGACTAAACAAATGAGAAAAATGAAAAGGAGAAACCAAGAAAAAAAAAAAATTGAGACCGGCGAACTTGGTGATTCCAACTCTCATTTTAGCCTTTACATAAACATGGAAGTGGAAGGAAAAGTCTTTTATGCTTTTCTACTTCCCTAAATTTCTTATATCTAGATTATAGAGTGAGTTTCTTGGAGGTTTTTGTCTTGCCTAACATATTATTCTTAAAAACTTTAATTGCTGATGTAGCTTATTGTTCATAAAATAGAAAGTAACAATCAATAATACATTTTTGTCTTGGGTAAATTTACATAAATATCATCATATGCATACTCCAAACTTTAATATTTTGTCACTTCAGGTCAATTGATGTCAAGATAATATATATAAACATCAACGTTTTGGGGAACCATATGCAAATTACTAGTTTTTAGGCTAAACTTTTCCGTATAGAATATGTGTTTTCTAACTATTCAGGAGGGTAGGGGGCGGATGCTTGATCAGTATAAGTCCTATTAAAATCCTAATAGATAATGGAGTTCACACTGTAATGTTCATATCTTTTCTTATGAGCAGGTTACAAAGAATATGAAGTCACCGATATATGTTTACTATCAGCTCGACAACTTCTACCAGAATCATCGGCGGTATGTGACCCTTTTATTTCTCATGTACAATATGTGCATATTATATGCACCACCCATGCAACATGATTGAAAATGTATGTAGTTTTAAGCAGAAAGTGTTCCATCTCCCTTCTGTAGTCCCTGAGAATTCAAGCTTTATTTTTCATGACTACCTCCCAGCTTTAATTGTGAGAATTTCTTGTTAAAGAAAAAGGTTATTGAAAATCATGTTATACCCATATAAGTAGATTACTAGTAGAAGCAGAAGTAAGTGGATTAACTGAGTTTGTGCAGATAGAATTAGGTTACATCGAGAGAGATTTTCATATGAAAAGTCAATTACTGCTGGTTGTTTTCCCATTTTCACATTTCCTGCTGCAGATTGGTATCACACTACAGAGCTTTTTTACTTCTTTTTGAAAATGTTGAAAAGCATTTTCTTTGAGAAGGGGGTGGTATTAGAGAAGCTGTTGCTGTGGACAATTTTTTTAAGATGCTTCTGTCAAGATTTTGCCCTAACTTTGTTAACAATCTAACTAACTTGTTTGTAAATCAATAAAAGACAAAGTTTTCAAAGTTTCATTTAAGTCTTGTCGTTGGTTTGGGCTATCTTGTATGATATGTTGGTGATGTGGCTGTCTTGAAGGTGTAGTACAGTAGTAGGTGCGTGGGTGTTTGGATTTGGGAGGCTTCTATATCATTTGATACAGTACTAGCAGTGGAAAGCCGAGAAATAGGGGAAACAGAAGAAGAGGAGGGGAGAAGGGAGAAATGGGGATATAAAGAGGGACCCGGGTGGGGGGGACAGAGAGGTAAAGGAAGAAAGAGGGAGAAAACAATTCTCTTATAATATTCAATCGCTGCACATTCAAGACACCCAAGGGTTCTTAAAGGTAACTGAAAACACATGCTTGGATAAATAAAGAAAATAATAATAATGATAATAAATAAAATACCTAATTTAGTTGCTTTTTTTTTTATATGGATGGCGAGTGGTTCTTGTAATACATGTTTGAAACCTCGAATTATAGTTTATACTGATTTTAAATGTTATCAATCATTTCAACTGCTGTGTCAAGAACTAATTTTTTGTTTGCCCTTGGTTATGAGAAATAAAAAGTTTTTATCTGAGAATAATAATAGAAGGAAGAAAATAAAAAAGTATTGTCTGAGAACCATGGGGAAGTTCATTTTTTACCAACCATCTAAGCTGTGAAGAATACGTTTGGTTGATGAAATATAATTTCATGTCTCTTGAGTTATAGCTCTGTACTCGGGGTCTGTTTCCTAAAAGATTTAAGCAATATCCATTTGAAGATCTTATTGTATTCATCTTATTTTCATAACTCGTTATAAACTTCTATGTCATTTTATCACACATGTCAATACATTTCAGTCTTAATGTTTGGGAATTTTCTGGTTAATGACCGAGTATAATCCATATAATTCCATCTTTATAATTGCAATTATTCTAGTGCTAACTTTGTATCATTCAGGTATGTTAAAAGCCGAAATGATGAGCAGTTAAGAGACCCCAAAAAGGGCAATTTAACTGAATTTTGCAAGCCCGAAGATCTTTCCGATGGCAAAGCAATTGTACCTTGTGGTCTTATAGCTTGGAGTTTGTTCAATGATACGTATAACTTCTCCCGTGAAAACAATATTTTGGCAGTGAACAAGAAAGGCATCTCTTGGAAGAGTGATAGGGAACACAAATTTGGAAAAGATGTCTTTCCTAAAAACTTTCAGAATAGTTCTCTTAGAGGAGGTGCGCATCTTGATGAATCCATACCAGTAAGTCTTTAACTATAGAACGTTTTTATTGAATGAAGCATCTTTTTTTGCCCCATTTTTTGGGGTATTTTGTGTGTGTGTGTGTTTTTTTTTTTTTTTTTTTTTTTGGGGGGGGGGCGGTGTTAAGAGAATGAAGCAACTATTGTATGTATATAATTTGACTGGATGGTTGTTCGGAGGGAGAAGTGTAATAAAATAAAATCTTTTGTGGGTGTAAAATTTTTGTACATTTTTATTTACTCAACTACATTTATAGTTGAACTTCGTGTTTATTATTTGATATATTACATTCTGCATTGATTCCCCTTTCATTTTTGTGGCTTATAGTATATTGCATTCTTCAAAGAGTGTTCTCTATACTTTACATCACTGAGGCAAGTTGCTAACTCTTTTAATGTTGTATTTAACAGTTGAGTGAGCAGGAAGATCTTATTGTGTGGATGCGTACGGCTGCTCTTCCAACTTTTAGGAAGCTGTATGGAAAGATAGAGGTGGACCTGAATGCAGGTGACCAGATACACGTGACATTGAAGAACAACTACAACACATACAGTTTTAATGGAAAGAAGACGCTCATATTGTCAACTACTACCTGGCTTGGTGGGAAGAATGACTTCCTTGGCATTGCATATCTCTCTGTTGGAGGATTGTGCTTTTTTCTGGCCATGGCTTTTACCATCATATATTTTATCAAGCCAAGGTAAATACTCTAAATACATGCAAAGACAAAAAAAAAGTCATACTATTCAAGTTATAATGATTACTTTTAGGGTGCGTTAGGTACATGGAAAAGGCATTTGAAGATAGGGAAAATGTAAGAGGAGATATCTTTATTGCATTTGGCAGATGGCAAGGTGGCTTTGTTAAAAAGAAAGTTATGTTTATGGGAGTAGGCTTTACTATTCTCATTCCCTTTTCCATTATCATTTTGTACCTAACTTTGAAGAAGATGCTTTGACCAGCACTCGAGATATAACTAGATGCAGAAGAATAAAACCATCAGAAGATTCTTTAAAAAAATTATTGCTAGCGTGCTCTAGTTATTGGATGATAAATGATAATGACCACCACCAAGTCACCATCCAAGTTTATTTCAAATGCTAAGGTTCACTAGTGTATATGCTACATCTGCTGTCATTTTTTCCTCTATTGACGTTGACATTAACCAGATTCTGTTCAGTAGTTTGCTGAATGGCTCTTTTGTCTACAAGATCCTAATCTGTCTGTTTCTAACTGTGATTCTAGGCAACTTGGAGATCCGTCATATCTGTCATGGAATCGGAGTCCTGGTGGGCATTAAACAGATGCTAATTGATTAGTTATCTTCCAAGATTCAAGGCTCGGTTATTTTGCTGTGTCAGGTTTTTATGTGTCTGTTACTTATGCGTAATGGATTGGCTTAAGCAATCACATGTTATTATCGTCTTTTATCTGTGTCTTCTGTGCATCATAACGTAAACATAGTGTTGCGTGAGAAAAAAATAGTATCCAGTATTTCTGGCAGTCGTTTTTTTTTTCTATTAACAACTTAGGGATAGAGGTGGGTTCTTATTTTGACATTGCCTCTTTTGGCTCAGGAGTTCTGTATAGGAGAAATAGAAAGAGTCAAGTGAGGCTTCTTATTTTTCCTTTCTTGAGATGGAAAGACAGATAATTTTCCTTTTTTCCCCCCTTCCCTTGTGTTTGGTCCAAGGCTTAAATTCATTTTCAGTCAGAACGAAATAAAATAAAAAATAAAATTATCTATTTATTATTGAGTACTTTTGGCCCAAAAAAAATTTTATTATTGAGTACTCCCTATGTTATTTATTTTTAGAGAAGTTATCACTTTTGACTTGTATTTTGTATGAGCAAAATCACCCATTCCAATAAGTATTTATTACATATTTTTTAAATCACCTTTTATAATTTATATTAACAAGAAACAATTAATGTATGTTTATGTTAATTAATAAAGGGCATTTTTGTCCATTTATTTTATTTTAAGATATAATTATTATAGTTAACTAATTATAAAAACGGAGGGAGTAAAATAAAAAATATAAAATAGATATTAAATGTCTTATAATTTGTACAATGAAAAATATCTCCATATGATGGGCATATATAATATCTTCCATTTTGTAAAACTAATGCAATAGAATTTTCCCAAAAATAAATTTCGAAAATGATAAGGTTTGGATTAATTCTTCATGTGATAAAAGTTTAGTTAAATCTTCCACACGCAACAAGAAAAATTGTACTGACTCATTGTGCTAACTGAAGTATATCATTAATTTTTTTGTCGTGCTAGTACATGACAGACCATGACATCATGATATATTGACTCAAGGCTTTAGCTTCCTGTTTTATTACCTTAAGGTTTTAGCTTCTACAAGCTGATATCATACATTGACTCAGATAATGACGCAAACTAAGGGTGATGGCTGATAGGAATCAAACGGAGATCATGTTTTCTTCTCACGGTGGAACCAAAATCCTCATCCATCTCCAACCCTTCAGGCTTTAACCCATTGGGGAGTTTCCAATCAAAGTGGTAGAGCAAACTGGCAAGCATAAATTCGATAAGAGCTGTGGCAAATGAGATTCCTGGACATATTCTTCTTCCAGAACCAAATGGAATGTACTCAAACTCTGTGCCTTTAAAGTTGTAATCAGTCGAGGCATTTAGGAATCTTTCTGGCTCAAACTTTTCAGGCTCACTCCAGTATTTGGGATCTCTTTCAATTGCCCAACCATTGATAATAACCCTTGTCTTAGGAGGTAACTCAAAACCGTTGATCTCACAGCTCTCATGATTCTCTCTTGGAAGTAGCAGTGGCAAAGGAGGGTGAAGCCTCAGAGTTTCTTTTATGACAGCATACACATACTTCAATTGATGAACTTCTGACTCATCCACATAACCTTTGCTTCCATAAACCCTTCTTACCTCTTCTTGTGCCTTTTTCATCGTGTTAGGGTTTCTGAGAAGTTCTGACATTGACCACTCCACAGTTGTTGCTGATGTTTCAGTTCCACCAAGAAAAACATCCTGAAAAGAAGACATATATGTATATGTCAGTTGACATTTAGACCTAATTTTAATCTAGACTTATTTGTGGGCCACAGGCAAACAAATAATGTACCTAGTGTTTTTTTTTTTTCTTTCTTTCACTTTTAACCAGAAATATAAAATACCTTGTCAGATCCTTTCTATGACACAAATTATATTTTTATGACTTAGAAACCTAAAAGCAATGAGCCTATCAGGTGAAGGTGGATTTCATTCAAAGATCTCACCCTGAACACACACGCACACACAGAAATAGATGGGAAGATAATTTAATTATATAGAATAAATACTTACCAGGATAACAGATTTGATGTTCTCTAGAGTTAAGGGGATTTCAAGATCATTTTCCCTTTGAATCCTCAGAAGAACATCAACTAGATCCTCTGCCTCACCAATATAGCTGTGCTTCTCTTCTCTGTGGTGGTTGATGATATTCCTAACTATCGAATCAATCTCCTTGTTCACTCCTTCAATTTTAGCTTTGATTCCAGTGATCACTTGAAGGATTTTGAGCGAAGGGTAAAGATCAGCAATTGAGAGACCACTTGCCAACTCTAGGGTCCGCTTCATAGTTGATAGTAGTTCTTCAACATTCTTGCCCTTGGTCTTTGCACCAAAGGCTGCTCGTGCTGTTACGAAATTTGTGAGCTCGAAAAGCTTCTTACTGAGATTGATAACAGAGCCTTCATGTTCAGATACATTCTTCACAAATGCAGATACCTCCTCTTCCCTTATCGTTCTGAATGACTGGACCCTCTTTGCAGATAAAACCTCCACAGTGCAAATCTTTCGAAGTTGCCTCCAGTAGTTTCCATATGGAGCAAAGCCTATATCCATATTGTTGTTAATTATTTTGCTCGCAACAAGACTAGGTCGATAGGCAAAGGTGGTATCATGCTTTTTCATGATCTCTTTGGCAATTTCTGGGGAAGAGACAACAACATGGGACACCTCTCCTAGTTGAAGGTGCATGAAAGGTCCATACTTGTTAGCTAGGTCTCTCAGGGAGTGATGAGGTAGTGACCTTACAAGTTGGTGCAAGTTCCCTATGAGCGGTAATCTGGGTGGACCGGGGGGTAGGGTTTTGACAGATTTCTTGGAGCTCGATCGCTTCAGTATTACAAGGAGGAAGCAAGACATGGCAATGAAGAGAGAGCATGGGATTTGAATCTCCATTGATGGCAACGCAAATGGTGAGCTCAATATGGTTTACGGTAGCAGATATTTACGGCTTTTATAAAGAAAAAGATCGAGATATGCCAAATGGATGATTATTTTGCTTCATCAATAGTCATCTTCATTTTGGAAAATAAGCTTGAAGATTCAGTCTACCAGCAACATATAAAAGAACAGTTTAAAAGCACTGACGAGAAGTGGAGAGAAAATGGTTCAGCATTATCTTTTGTTGGTTGCTGCGGATGATAAGAAATTGAATTTTGAAAAATTTACACCTAAGTTTTGAAGAAGAAAATTTTATTATCGAAAGGTCTTATAAAATTTATAAAATAATTTAAAGTTTCAATTCTTATATATTTACAATTGAATAACATATATTTAATAATAAGTTGAAAATATTAAGTTGTAAATGCTTATTGTCTAGTTATAAATATTATTTGTTTAAGTTATAAATACATAAAATTTAAGATTTTTAAATACTTTGTGAATTTTATGGGATCTCGTAGTGATAAATTCTCTTCTGTGAAGCTTAGGTATGATTTTCCCTTGAATTTTCAACCAAAGTGCATGTGGAAGAAGTGAACCAGATTTAACATTTCAGACATTAATGAGAAGAGAGAAATGGTTTCTTTCTCAAGCAAGAACAGAAGAAAAGCGGCGTGCATGAATCTGTTGTGGGTGGTGAAATCTGGTCAGTCCGATCAATCTAACGGTTCTAATCACATCATCTCTGAAAATTCATGAGTGCGGTCCATTAATTTGACGACTGAAAATGAAAACAAGTGGCAGACAGAATTACGAGTTAATGTACTTGACTTGCAAGTGATTTGACTTTGAAACATAAGACATTATTTACATAAAAGTGGGTTCCATGACTTCAAAGCACGTTGTGGAAACAATATTACAAGCACCATCTAACACTACTCGAGCGTAGAATCAAAAATAAAAATTGAGTCTAAAAAGTTAAATTTAGAGTTGCTGAAGATTCAAATTTTAAAAATAATTTTTTAAAATAATCAAACTTGAGAGTTTAATCTTGATAAGTCCTGTAAAAAAGGACTCAGACTCGGTTATAATAATATTATTATTATTATTATCTTTTTTGGTAAAATATGTGTTTGAAGTTAATGACCTGCTCACATAATCCTATAAGCGTTATATTATTATTAATTTTAATTTATTCTAAAATTAATTTAATATAATTTAATAAATATTAGTGTATAGTATAAAATTGCTGATATTTTTTATTTTTTATAATTATTATGTTTGTGTATTTATAAAAAAATAAAATATTTTTAATTAAGATTTAAATTTTATTACTAAACTTCTAGATGTGTGTTCTTTAATTTTTAAAAATTATGAGGATTTTAATTTTTTAAATTTCAAAATATTTTAATTAATTTATAATGTTTAATTGTATTTTAATTTTTTCATATATTAGAAGAAAAATTGTTAGATTATCCAATTATGAAGAGGTCTAAATCAATATGAAACATAACTAATATATAATTAAAAAAAAGGCATATAAACTTAAACTTTGAAATTTTTAATTAAAATATGAAGTCCTTCAACTACTTTTGTCTGTTTATTCTTTTTTTTTTTTTGTTTTTGAATAGTCGGTCCCCATTTTTAAAGAAAACTCATGTAGTGAGTTAAGACTAGCCAGTCAAAGATTTTTATTCTACGGATTTTTGCGATATTGTCTAATTTCAAGTTACCATTTACTATGTGTAGAAGACATTTTCTCATTATATGGTTTTAGCAATAACTTTTGGAGTTGGTCAAAATGCAATGGCTATTGAATCATACTTGTTGAAGCATGCATCTGTGCCTAGTTAGCTTCTGCCACTTTGTGTCACATGCGAAGCATAATTAGTTGAATTTTTTAGTTAGTGATGTGGAAGAAAAATCAATTAACCTAACTTCCCATGTACTATGGTGTATGTGTATCGATCCATTCATCCATTAAATAAAATTGATTAAAAAATTAATTAATATTATTGATTTTAAATATAATTGATTATATTTTGTGATATAATTGATTTATAAAATTAATTAATTTTAGTATTGTTTAAAAGAAAAATTAAAAATTAGGCATTATTTTATGAAAATATATCCAAACACTCCTATTGTATGTTGTCAAAATTAATTATGAACTCAAATCATATTTTTTTAAAAAATATCCAAATATCTTTATACATGTCAAAATTAATGGGGCTTTTGTACATATAGCTTATTTCATAATATCAAATAAAAAAATAGCTTATCCTTTCTTAAATTTTAAAAATGAACTTTTTAATATTTAGTTTATAATTAATTTACAAAATTGCCCTTCTAATATTTGTTTTTTTTTTGCAAATATCAAAAGATTCAAAACTCAAGAAATCTCTGCAACTAAATGCATTGAACGCAAGATATATAGTTTAAAATGATTTTTTTTAGAGATGAATGCGAGAGGGAAGACGAAACTGGACGTGATAGAGATGAACACGAGGAACAAATGTGAGATGAGATATATCGACGATACTCAATAGAACAGAACACATAGGTGGAGAAATGGAGCTATAGAGTTATGGTTTTTTATTTTATTAATTTAGGTATTTGACTTTCTGTGATAAACTAAGAGTTCAAAATTTTTTGTAAATTGTGTTTGATCCATTTTGGGCAAATAATTATGTGTTTTTTATGTTACTAATTTGTGATACTACGTCGTTGATATATTGCTGTATATCACTGATATACTATGGCAAATCTACATAACTATACAATTAGACATAAACTTGTTTGTTATTGATATATATATATATATACATACGTATATCAATGATATAGTATTACAAATCAACAATATAAAAAATACATAATCATGTGCCTAAAATGAATCAAACACAATTTACAAAAAATTCAATGTTATCGAGAGATGTGAAGATGGTAAAAATCTGATGACAGATTAAAAATTCCAACCTATTCTTCTACTTTTAGAAATGAAGATTCCTCTTCAATGTCTAATGTCCTCTTCATAATGTTCCTAGGAAAAACAGAGAGGGAGAGAGAAGAAAAGCTCTACGATAAAAAAATGCACCGACAATTTTATATTTAGAGAAAAAAAGAAAAGATTCAGTCAATTGAGAATTAGTTATGATAGATATACTATGTTTTAATAATAAATTTAATTTAAGGATAAAAAAGTAAAATATATCTAACTAATTTTATTAATAGGCCATATTTCAGAATATTCAAAAATCTTATTCATAATTTATGGGAGCTGTATTTTTTGAAGCAATTGAGTTAATTTTCTCAAAATTAATTATGAACATAAAATGATGGTTATCTTATAAGTTATGTTTACATTTCAATTCAGTTTTTTAATCATACTTTTCTAAAAATTTATTCAAAAACCATATAAATTTTATTCTATAAACTATAATTTTGAGTATGTAGTTGATTTTGACATGCATAATGGTGCTTGAATATTTTCTTTAAATCATGGTTTGATGTTCATAATTGATTTTAAAATGTAAAAGTTAGGGGTGTTTGGATATTTTTAAAAGGAAAAAAAACTTATATACTTAGTCATATATATTTAAAGTATTTATTTTTAATTAAAGCAAGATATACAGATCTTTTATAAATTATTTATTCTTTTTTTTAAATCATAATTTTAAGTTTATAATTAATTTTAATATGCAACAAGGATGTTTGCATATATTTTTAAAAACAATGGTTTTTATCTAATTTCCAACCTAATATTAGTATTGCTTCGGTAAGTGAAGGAAATTATTCAGCTTAATAAACTGGATCGTCTCTCATCTCATTTCAAAAGAATGGCATGTGATTAATGCGTTAGCGACGTGGAAGTATACTCAGCATCTGGGGTCTCACTTGCATCTGCATGATCTTCATCTTCGTTTTTGAAAACAGCATGCGGTGAGACATTTCTAACGGCTAGTGCAAACTTTTCATCTCTGTTATAAGATATACTCCATCTGTTTTCCATTATAGTGTATTTTCAATCATTTTACGTATTTTAAAAAAGTTAATTTTTAAAATTATAAAAAAAGAGATATATACTTTCATTTATATCATTTTATTTTATTATATAATCACATTAAATATTTTTATATTAATCAGTAAAGGATAAAATTTAAAAAAAAATGATTTAATTGTTGTAAGGTGTTATATATTTTAAACCAAAAATTATTTCTAAAATGTTTCTTACAAATAACATCTGATAGAGGGTATTTCTAACTATTTTGATAGGATTAAAAATATAATTAAGTCATTAACTTTTTAAAAAATAAAATAAAAATCCAATTTTATTGGTATTTAAATAAATTTTTTAATTTTATATTATACCTTCTTTTATAGTTTAATGATTTTAAATAGTGGGGTTTGGCCAAGTAGGCTAGATTCATTGATTTTGGGCCCAAATTAGAGGACAATGAGGAGAAGCCGGACTCATCAGTAAACACCTAAAGGCAAGATCTCAACATTGTAATAGAACATCGCATTTCAAGGGAGCAGCGACCAAGTCTAGACCACTCGACCACGTAACCACGTTCCGAAGAAAGACAGAGCACCTTGAGCCTTGAGGCACTCCCTCTTCGCCGCAGACAATTAATGAATGGTTATGTTCTTGTGACCATTTTCACATCTTAAACCTATATCAACTTAAGACATTAGAAGAGAGAATTGTGGTAAAAAATTTTGAAAATTCATAGTCATTGATTCTCCTACACATTGAGGATTTTACGCCTCTCGCACGCCTAGCATCATGTAAGAGACACAACGCTCCTGTTTTATGCCAACAAGTTGTAATGTTGAAAAAAACTTAATTATTACCCATACAATGACTTGTAATAAGGATCACACATTTCATCTAAAATGTTTCTTGTGATGAGGATTAGGAGGAGTAAATACTAATACATGAATTTGGACAAAGTAAATGACTTTACGGTATGGAAGGTGATTTTTTTTTTAAATAAGAGATATACTTAAGTTAACTCTCCGAGTTTAAAATTTTTATGTTTCTAACTTACAAAATCTTGTCAACTTATTCATTAATTCATATT